TGACAGATATCTGTCACATATCTGCAACATATAGGTATTTTGCCCAATAACATATCTGCCACAGTTATGTGACAGTATAGTTTCCCCACAGAGAAAATTATCTGCATATTATCTACCAAACAGATACGTATAAACATAACTGCCACCAAGTGAGATTTATCTCTTGCATAAAACTATTTCCTCTTCTGCAACATCACGTTGCTGCAACTGTACCTCTGTCATGTTCACTTGAAGCCATAAATAATTTAATACGAAGAAATATTAGATCAGAATAGTAAATGTATTTATCAGTAAATATATAATTATAGCTTACACATATAGATAAATTTAAGACTGTACAATCATTTTTTCTCCAGGGGCCAGTTGTCCAAGGCTGGATTAGCTTAACCCTAGGTTTACCTAAAATTCAAAGCAAACTTCCTGACAGCTTGTCTATAAATTTGGAAAGATTTTTCAGAGATCTTGTCTGGATCGATAGGAGTTTTCTTCTCTGAAGTTTTGAAATAAACAGGCTAAATTTTAACCCAGGGTTAGCGCTAGTCCAGCATTGAACAACCGGCTCCTGGGGCAGAGTAATTACACTTGCTATAACCTACACTAATTTAAAATTTCCTAATATTATATAATTATATTTATATATACATGGCCAGAAATAAATAATGAGTACCTAAAAGTCATTAATTGTTAATGTCAAGTCTCACTCAGCTGGTTTGCTTTTAGTTCAAGCCCCACAGCATTTGTCCTGTACCGTGTACTGCATAGCAGCTGTCTTTCCATAGACTGTATCATCCAGAACAAAAGCTGAAAAAATAGGAATTGATAAAATCAGATTTATTTAATATGTTTTAGATTTAATTAGCATTGACAGGAAGAATAATCTAGATAGTGTTAGGCCAAATAGGGGATGCCCTTAGGGTAGCCATGTCTAATGGGTTACAAGGTATATATTGGCTTATAATTAACCATCTACTAGGTTACATTTGATTTAATACTATTTTTGTAAAGTATATTATAGGAGACATTAGGGCTTACTAATGAGTTAGGTCAAAGAAATCACTGACCCTAATCTTTTTATCTGAAGTTTGCAAAGAGTTCGGAACAATTTTTCATACCCAGTTTGTGGCGTTAGTTTTGTACTAGCCATATAATACTTTTGTTTGTGGAAACACCATGTAGTTGTGTTTCCACAAACAAAAGTATTATATGTTTTATCGCCATGGAAACCTACAAAGAAAGTATAACCTGTTTGTTTCAAAATCAAAGTTGATGTAATATTTAATGAATGTTTGTGTATCTGTGCTGCCGTAATTGATGTAGAATATCATTCTCATGCATGAACATTTATAATAAAAAATAAGAAAAAAACCCTACCTACCCTGTCTAAATGTTTTGCATATGAAATATAAACCCAGGCATTTCTTTTTTTGGACTTAGTATGGAAAAATAGGTAAAATTAACAAGATAGAGCACATTAGGACAAATTGCAGGTCAATGGGTCCAGCCACAGCCCTGCCCCTTTTTTGGACTTAGCATGGAAAAATAGGTAAAATTAACAAGACAGAGCATATTAGGACAAATTGCAGGTCAATGGGTCCAGCCACAGCCCTGCATTATTGCAAGCCTATGGACAGCTCTACATGTACCATACTGTAATGACTCATTCATGACAGAAAATTGGCTATTGCACACTGACCCTTTATACTAATATACTTCTGGCATAATTTAGATTATTAAGGCACTAAACTACTTAAAAGCTCTACACACTATGCTCAATTTTTTGTATGGCACAGATCAAACTGGTACTTGTACCAACTTTATCTGTGCTTGGCCAGTATGAATAGGTAGTCCAAGCATGGTAAACATGTTACGTGTACCAAAATTGAGCACAGTGTCAATGTTAACAGGCCTTAAAATGGCTGCATTTGGAGGTAAACTTAGGATTCATGTGTAATTATGTTGTTACTAGAGGGCCCCCTATACCTCTTCACAATATGCTTTCACGTAAAAATATTTTGCCTTTTCACGAGTCACGGATTAAGAAAATCATCGATCACATTTCACGGCTAAGTAAAATAAGCCCTTCACGCTTCACGCAAAAAGTATAGGGGGCCCTCTTACTAGTTACTAAATTTTTGTAGGGGCTGTTTATAAGATCGAGACTGACCTGGCCTAGGTGGCCACCTTAGCTGGGCCAGTTTGTCATTTCTTTCATAGAAAGCACTAAAAGCAGACTATTTATTCTTGTTAATTCTTACCTTACAACACCAGTTTGCCAACTCAATGCAGATCTGATTGTCGAGACTTGAGAACAATATTTGGAGCACACCGGGCTATAATCTAGTTCCAATATTAATCTGAAAGTATATAAAGAGAACATTTGAGGCATTGTCTCAGTGCTCGTACATCTTCCAGCTTTTACAAACAAATCATTTTATACAACTGAAGCTCGTTAATAAAGAGCTTGCAAGACTCTCCCCTTGACGAGTAAAATTGTCTTAAGCAACATAGTTGCAGTATAATGGGTTAAGGATCAATACAGTAATACACTGATAGATCACATTCAATGCTGTAATTCTTCTGTAATTACAATCCTTATTCATGTATTACTGTAAAATGCTAACATATCTTTAACAGCATTCAAATGTTTAATATATTATTTCATATTGTTAAAAGCACAAGTATGTTTAATATATTATTTTATATCGTTTTATTATTAATTTATACACCCTTGACAAGGTCTAGAAAAGTGCCAAATAATTATGTGACAATTATTGCTAAATTGTTGATATTAATAGTGCATTAGTGCACAATTTACTACAGAATTTACTATAATAGATTCGAATTGATATTATATTCTTTCTTTCCTTGCCAGAAACCAACATTTCATATGTTTCTTATGCAAATTGAACGCGGCAAATTCAAAATTATATTTAACAGAATTTCAGACACATGGCTCAAGTAACAATCATATTTTCACTACATTCTTTCGCAATTAAAGCGCTTAAATAACAAGTCAAAATATAACTATTCTTACCTGTGAGATCTGAATAACATTTTACAAACTTTTCCATGCCTTTTCCATCATTTGGGTTTGAAATTTCGATAAGTTTCTTCACCATGTAAGACATGTAAATGTGCTTTCAAATTTTTAGCACAAAAATTCGAAACGATGCTATCCCATGACACTTTGCGCTCCGACACTTAAACTAGGCACCAGGCCTCCAGGCAATGCGCGAACTATTGCTTCAGTTGTCATGTATTAAATCACAGTTAATCCAGATGATCTTGATACGCGGAAAAGTACTGGCACTAGTTGTCAAATAGAAATCCATTTTATGATTAAAACAACTGAATATCTCCTGCAATATACTTTATTTCGATTCCATATTTTTGTCAGAGCTATAGTTCTCATAACCAAACATAATTACAAAATTTCAACTAGTTTCATAAAGAATAACGAAAGATATAATTGACTGAATACATCAAAATGGATTTCTATTCGGACAACCCTTTCTGAGCGCTAATTGGCTAAAATACGAACACGAGATCACCTGGATGTGATTAAATATAGTTTCTCTACGAATATAAGGAATATTTACAAATGTTTTCAATCAGTTACTGACTGTTAATTAATTTATTGATAATAAATTCTCGGAAAATGAATATTCTCTACAATGATTCAATAAAACATGGAAAGAAATCAACTTTAGAAATTAAATTAGAATGTAGTTATATGGTATCAGGAATGATGGAAAGGGGGTGGGGCAAGGTCTCCTTTCCTAAAGGGGGCAAATGTAGCATTTTAATATAAATAAAACACAATATTTTGTCCCAATTTTACTTTAATAACAAATTAATTAACAAAGATAAATATGATAGAAGAGAATTTGTATATTTAATTAGCTATTTCCCAAAGTCCTGGGTCTGGTTGCAAGAATCCCTTGTTGGAGGACAAAAAAGACAGCACACATTTAAATTAAAGTTTAATGTAAAAGGGAGATATCTCATTTTTGGTCATGTAAAAAGTTGATATTTTATAGTAGATACTTCTACTCTTTCACATATTTGATGCCTGTCTCCATATATTTTGTCCCTCCAAATGACCCCAGAATATGCACTGAGAAAAGGCTAATTACGTGAATATACTAACCCATATAGAATCTAAATCCAGGATGACATTTGACATCTTGTTAAAAGAATATTGAGGAAAAATATATCATTTTGGGAAAAAAATGCAAAAATTGCAAAAGATGTTATATTTAAATTTTAACAAATTTATATTCATTCTTCGAGAAAATTTAAGTAAGAAATAATTTGTTATTAACCATTATTTCTTATGTTAAGAATTTGATTTCATGTTTTAAAAATTATCTTAAGAAAATGATTTGATATGAAGATGATGAAATCGTAAGAAAACATTCATATTTCAAGAAAACAAATGTAATTTAAGATATGTTAAGAGAATTTTTCTTATTTCAAAAAATGTCTTGCAAATCAAATACTTCTAATTTTAAGAATCATTTTTCTAATTAAGAAAATTAGTTTCTCATTTCAACAAATATATTCTTGAAGTAAGAATTGTTTTCTCAATAAGAAATTATTTTTTTGCTGTGTAGTCGAGATACTGTATATTGACAGACAATTGGCATATCTATATATATCTGCAATTTTTATGCAGATATTTTGCAGATATTTTGACAGACAACTGACATATCTGCAAATATCTGCAACTTTTATGCAGATAGTTTGCAGATATGTTGACAGACAATGGACATATCTGCAAATATCTGCAACTTTTATGCAGATATTTTGCAGATATGTTGACAGATACTCAACATATCTGCAAAATATCTGCAACTTTTATGCAGATATTTTGCAGATATTGTAGACCTTGTTGCAGTTATGCTGCAGTACTGCAACAGATATGTGACAGATACTTGCAGACATTTTACATATATGTCAGTTTGGTAAGGGGCTGTTTATTTGTAACATATAATTTTTTAAAAGAACATTGTTAAAGCATGCTGTACCTCTTCGTCTCCACAGCAAAATGTAATTGATGGATGAACAGTAAACCCCAGTGGTGGTTCTTCTGCAGCACAAGTTGCAAAAATAAGAAGAGAACTCAATGTGATCGGTTCTCTTCTCCCACTGGCCACCTGCCTCACATACTTCACAAACAAAGCATACAATGCCTTTTCCTTTAAATAAACTGAAGATCCTTCTTCAGAGAAAGTGGGTGCAAGCAATTTAAGAACCATCTTTGCTGACATCGTTTGGTTGTTGTGTCTGAGCAAATAGAGCAGGATCGGGAACTTTTGCATAATTCTAGCAAGGCCAAAAACATTTAGACCTTGCTGTAATTTAGCAATGCAAGAATTTTCAATTTGTGATGAGACCAAACTGTCAATCACATCAGAAGGCATAAAGGTTGGTATTTGGCCATTTTGAAGCAAAGCAATACCTATCATGATGTCTACATGATAGTAATCATCTGCCAGGTATTCTCGGAGACATTTGTCAAAATACTTTTCCTTCATGGCAGCATTCATTAAACGGATCCACTCCTTTCTTGGTCCTCCCAGATCCCTTGCCATTTCACCAATAAAGTCAACTTCAAATGTAATATGAAAATTTTGTATTGCCTCTAGTTCTGAGAATGTGGATGCCAGAATGTTATGTCTATCAACACAAATATAATTGGTTTCACCTTCTGGGGTGTTTGATGTATCTTGAACATCTAACACTCTTCCCTCTACTAAGTTCTTTTGTAAGAACCGTAAAATTTCCACTGGTTCGGACAGCCGTTGGTTTGCTATTTCATTTATCAAGACATCAACAGCATTTGTACAGGCTGAGGACTCTTGCTGGTTGGGGTCTGTTTTCAGTGGTTCTGGATCTTCGTTCTCTGTTAGGTGTACTGTCACAGTGCTAACACAAGGAGGAACTGCTGAACAAGCACTTGCAACTGCCTTGGTTTCATCAACATTGACAATTTCGATTTCAGGTTCCATAGGTATCTTCAGTAACGCCGCATCGCTTTCATTATCGGAGTCATACAGGAATTCATACCCTTGCTTCACTTTCACATATAGCAGTCCTTGACCAGCCATTTTTTTCACCACAGCATAATTAAATTCAGTCCCTGGTCCCAGCTGAAGAATTGTAATTGCCTTGTGCCTAACTTTAACAAAATCAAAATCATTATCACCCAGGGATGGAAATTTTGCTGCTAGAGATTCTTTAATGGCATTTCTTATGCTCTTTTCATTGTCATCTTCATGTAGCGTAAGCATCCCACTTGCAATAACTGAATCCCACTTGAGATGATGCGGTTCATCTTCATCATCCGGCCAACATCCGATCAATGCAAACTCCATTGCTTTCTTAACTTTCTCCTTAGTTGGTTGGGCTGTTGATTGTCTGTTGTTCTGATAAGGGGACGATGCTCTTAATCTTTCAGTTCTATTTAAACGTCTAAAAAGTCCGGAAGAAGAACTTGCTTGCAGCATACTTTGCGCTCTCTGAAGGGATTCTCCCAACAATGAGGAAGTTGAGGCAGAGCTGGATCTACTAGAAGTCCCACCATTTCTTCGAGTAGAACGACTTGAATTGTTGACACTGGCACTGGATTGACTGCTGCCTGTACTGGAATGGTTCGCTGTAGATGTACTTCGTTGTGAATCAACATCAACTAAAAGCTTGGAAGCTTCATCCAACAAATTAGCAACCTTTTCCCTTACTTCTTGATTCATATTGTGAACAAAGGTGTCCGATTAAAGCAAACAACAAGTGAAAATACTGCAAAAGAACGTTTGGAGGTCAATATGGCGGAAGCTTTGGCGGGAACTTTGGCCATGTGTTTCCATATGTGATGTTTCCACTTGCCGATAACTTTTATAGGAAAAGGAATTTTTCTGGGTAAAATCGAAATTGGGCTATTCCAATTATTATCCGCACCCCCTCTGTTGAGGAACCCATTTCTCACGTCGGTACTCCACTAGAATTTCCGCAAATTTTCATGTAAAATTTACCCCATCCCATGGAATTTCATTGTAATAATTACCCTTGCCATGGAATTTCCATTTTAAATTAGGCCTTCCCCGTGGAATTTCCATTCAAAATTTGGCCCTGTCCATGGAATTTCCATGTGCAAATTACCCCTCCCTATGGAATTTCCATCATGGGACATTTACTCCCAGAAATTTCCCTCTAATATATGTCTTCCCATGGAATTTCCATCCCATTAAATTTACTCCTCCCTCTGGAAATTCCATGTGAGAATTACTCCTTCCTTTGGAATTCCAGAGCCTGGATGCCCCCTTCCCTGGAAATTCCAGGGTTAATGCACCCCCTCCCCTGGAAATTCTAAGGTTAATGTTCCCCCTCCCCTGGAAATTTGAAAGTTAGTGCACCTTTCCCCTGGAAATTCCAAGGTTAATGCACCCTCTCCCCTGGAAATTCCAAGGTTCTTCAACAGGGGGGTGCAGTAATAATTGGAATAGCCCAAATGCGACACGAAAAACCATTATCGGAAGTCCCACACCTACAACTTTTTATTTTTACTGTTCTAGCTCTTATATAAATCGTGTTGTTGTAGATCCACATATTAATAAATTACTTATTTTAATGGTAGGGTCATGGTAATACACGCTTTCAGAAAGTACGTCACCTTGGCTATAGTATAGGGCCTCGTTTTAGTGATTGTGACGTGGGCTTCAACTGATGTCAGATATACGAAAACAAGGCTCTACAGATAAAGTGACATACATTCTGGAAGGGTGTATCAGGTACATATTACTAAAATCGTTTTTGTATCATTTCAACAATACAGTTGCTAACTTTCTAGGTTATGACTATGCAATCAGCAAAAATATTGGGGGCTTAGCCCCCCAAATCGATATGGAATTTTAACTAGTTGTCTCAGTGCCCCTTAGCCTCCTCTACTACAACCCTGAGTCACATTTATATTAGATATAGAAATTGGTTGTTTGAAACGATGCGAGCAGCCACGTATGGACCTAGAGATGAGTTTAACTGCTTTAACACCCCCTAATATTAGTTCATGACTAATTTCAGGTAAATTTAGAGGTGACTTGAGCTGATTATCGGCTGAATTATAAGAGCTTTGACAGGCAAAAGTGAATGCAAGCTAACAATGAAAAGAATTTATTTGCATTTCCAGGCTTTCTGAAAGTCTCAATTTCCCCCTGACCCCCTTAGTAAATTTAGCTCCGTATCCATTATACTAGTAGTGAATAAATTAAAAGTCTGGCCACAGCCTAACCAGCCTTGATGTGTACAATAATTATGTTTAGCTAAAATATAATTACATTTCATTATACGTCCACCTTAATACTTCATCAACTAACTTACACTATTTTTGATCCGCAAAATAAGGCTAAATTAAATCTTGTACAAATAATAACCAGTGTATGTTTGGATATTTATCATATCTAAGTTAATCGAGACCTACTACACGATGGGTGACTTACAATTAGAACACTGTAGTCACAAACGAGACCTTGGAGTTTGGATTTCAACTGACCTGACATGGAACAAACACTTACAAACCCAGAGTGCAAAAGCCAACAAGATCTTGGGCTATGTAAAAAGAACAACAAGCAGCATCAAAAGTATGGTCACGAAGCGAACAATCTATCTCACCATCGTTCATGCACATCTTGCATATTCCTCGCCGGTCTGGGCCCCTCAAACTGTGGACAACATCAAGAACATTGAACGAATTCAACGACGAGCGACAAAATACATACTCGGACTACCATATCGCTGCAGTGACACATACAAAGAACGACTTCTACAGACTGATTTAATTCCATTGACTTATTGGCAAGAAACTTGAACATGGTACAATTGTTTAAAATAATAACAATAAAAGTAAAGAAAACAAGGAGGTCAACAAGATCTAGTAACAACACAGATGGCATCATTGTATTAGAGGAACAGATATATCGAACATCTACATACGCTAGGTCGTACTTGGTAAGATCGAGACGAGTTTGGAATAAGCTACCAAACGAAATGCGCAGGAACTCCATCTCTTTGGCTACTCTTAAAGTGCATATGAAAGAATTTTCCTTTTTTCACTGAAAAATCGGCCGTGGCGAGACGATTCGAATGATGTAAATCATTATTTGATCGGATAAAAACTTCCAGACATATTTAGCATCAAACATGCCAAAAAATAGGGTTTTTTAAATCATGGCCGGGAGAAAAGAGGCTGGGTAAAAATTGAGGTGTGTGACGTCAATTCGGGAACGGAAGTAATATGAGCTCTTGTTGTTCTGTATTGTTTTATATGAAAACAGTCGAGCAAAAGCTACCGGAAAATTTGAGGAATTGTTTTATTTAGTAAGTTAGAACGATATGTCTACTTCTGAGTTATACTTGGACGAATCTTCTTCATCTGTTGAGTCAGAGTGTGAATCGAGTGGTGATATAGATGACTACGAACTTGAAGTGGAAGAATTTGATGTAGGCTCTGCTTCGGCGTCGAATGAGGCAAGCGGCAAATCATGGGAAGACAATACTGTGGCCGCGGCCACTGCAGTTTTTCCCTATAGCGATGAACCCATTGCTGATATAGAATGGATCGAAGAATACGAGAGAGAAAAGGAGAGCGAAAAACTTCATGTTGAGGCCCTTAAACAGCGTTTAGATGGCACAATTGCTGTAAGCCAATGGTAAGCAGAACCATTCTCACACAAAACTGGAAATAGAATGTGGCAATCAATTCCTGCTTTTGTTTAATTTTAATGTAGCTTGTTAAGAATATCTCTTTATATAAATCTTAGGTGCAAATGTGGTAATTGTGATACGGCATTACTTCAAAATGTATACGAGTGTCAGTGTTGCCAAGAAATCCCTAGATGCGTTGATAATTTACAATCCGAAGACGTCTTGCAAGATACAGGAACGCCACCGTCTTGTGTAACACACCATCCGGGGTTTAGAGTCAACTGTTTGGAGAAATGGTCACTCAGGATGTCCGCAAGTAAATATAGGACAAAAATATGTCGTCGAAGATATCGCCAAAGTGGTTCAGAGGAGTCGTAAGTATTAGACTTAATTTTGTTGCAGTTGAAAGAGACACAGCTAGACTATATACAGTATACGAAATAGAAAATGCCAGAAAATAACCCACTACAACCAAGCATATGCACACAATCTGATACCATATGCTGCAGGGTACAAAAAGAATGTAACTGCAAAGTTTTGATATGCATATGTTTTGATATGCATTTTGGTCATATGCAGCCGGAATGCATGCATATGACCTGGTAGTGGTGTGCTTTGATAGCTGTACGCCGCCCATCAACTTGTCTTTCAAGTAGTCTTGCTGGACTACTGCATTTGAATTGATGTTCACAGTTTGCTTATCATTGTGTTATCATCAAATTACTGTATCTCATCTTGTTTTCTGCTTTATCATGACAAATAGCCCCCCCCCCTCATAAAATATTTTACTTTTGGTAAAATTTCATCAATTTTGGTGAAAATTTAGTAAATTTTTTAAGTGAAGTTTTGGTAAAAATTGTGTTTGAATAGTATCTTGTGTAAACAGAGATGTTAAAGGTCCGTATGTAAACAAAGCCTTTGTTTACATTTCAGTATTCAAAATATTGAACTTTATTCAACAACCATTTATATTTTAATGCTTCTAAGGGACGGACCATTAGAAAAGTGATGGGGGGGGGGGGATTTTCTAGGAGGCAATGTTTTTTTTTTTTGTACACCTATAGAAGAAATTTATTTTTTTTCTCACTTGACGGTTGGAAATATTTTTTTTTAAAGGGGCCCTACAGTAATTTTTTAGTCAAGTAAGTATTGTTTACTTTTTTTTGTTATTGTCGCTATTTGACATGCGCACCACACTATGCATGCGTTTTCTGGTGTGCAAAAATATTCATACTCATGGATACTGCATGTAAGATACAGGCAAACGAATCTCCGTGGAGTCCCCTACTTGCATAGGCGTACCGGGCGGGCCCCCCAGTTTTTTGGACAGTCGGGCAATATTCGATAAACAGTCGGGCAATTTTAGTTTGTAATAAAAATAAATGGGACAAATTCTGTCAATTTAGTCGAAAATTCAGTCAATTTTGTGTTGTTTGGAAAAGTTGTGTGATGTTCCGAAAAATTTTGGTATGTCCGGAAAAATTTTTTGACCCCTGAAATGGTACACTGACCGAAATTTTTTTGGCGACTGGGGGGGGGAGGTCGCCGAAATAATTTTTCCGGAAAATAATTTTTAGGTACTAGTCGGGCACAATCACGAAAAGTCGGGCAAATTTCTGTCCGCCCCCCTTAATTTTTCCTTCCGGTACGCCCATGCCTACTTAAGCTGGCTTTCGACTAAAAAATGACTGTAGGGCCCC